TATCAAAAAATAATGAACAAAGTGTCAATGCACTAGGGCTCCAAAACTATCTTGTGAATATCTATTGGTCTAGAATCATGATTTTAATGCTATTTTAATTTTCCGAACCTAAATACTTTTACTCACTCATAGTTTTATGTGTGTAAATACAACAATATTTAAGTTCAGGTTTCTCTTTATTTCGAGTTTCTGCAACATGTGGATAGACTACAAGTTTAATAGCATTACTAGCCTAGACTATTGCTTAGTAATGTAACCTTTCTCTTAGACTTGCAGCAAAAACTGAATGAGACAGAAAGCTGTTCAGATTATGAGCATACAATTACAGGTGAGTGTAATCTTTGACTTGCTGTTCTTTCTCAATATAGAAAACTGTTCTCTGTGATCAGCACCCATAATAAATGTCTCTGTGCAGATCTGCAGCAAAACCTGAATGACAAAATCAAGGAGCTGCAGTCCAAATCGAACTCTGTTACTTCACTTGGTGAGTGTTGAATCTGTTAGCTGTACTGTATTAATATGCTCCATCTTCCAGTTGATGATATTTAACTAATTTATTTCTGATCTCTGTGAAATGATTTAAAAAGGGAAGATATTAGAAGCTGTTAAGAAGCTCACAGTATTGCAACACTTGATACATTACAGGACAATAATAAATAATACATCATGATACATGTAGGTATATTTACTGATTAAAAACCCTGAAAGACCATTAGAATAACACCAAGATATTTACTGCATTGTGTACCATCATTAGTGGTGCATGCCTAATAGTACACAATGATAGTGCTATATTAATGTTTGCCATGTTTGTGCACTTGGCCAACAGATATAATCATATTGAGCAAAGTTTTCTTTTTTAATGCTTGGTGGTTGGCAGGCATGCCTAATTCAACTCTGTGGCTAAATAATGCTAACACGCTTTTTGCTTTGCTCATGTATGGCACTGAGATGTGTGGTTAGTTTCTCATCATTCTTAACATTTTTGTTATGTGACTGTATATAGTCATATTTGGTTTTTAAAAAATTCTTACAAAGAGCAAAAAAAATATAAACATAATATACATATAAAAATGATGTTTGTATTCTTTGGAGACAACATAGTCAATGAATAAGTTGCCCTAAATTATTAAGTAAAAAAGTAAGCTCTTACGTTGTTTTGAGATGATGAGTTTGCATAATTTCTTTAAGTCCTGAGAACTTGGATGATTATTCGGTGTACATAGCACGTTCAGTTTTAACAACAAACAAAACCTGACCTGTAAAGCTTGGGTTTGACATTTACGTGGACTACTGTAATATTGGCATGGCCCCTGACAATCATAAAAAACGTACACGTGAAAACTGTAGCTTTAAAAGAGATTTAAGGAGTATAACAAATGTATTGATATCTTTGGTCAAAAAAATGTAAGATCTAAATTGTAATATACAATGTACACTACAGCAGGAATGATTAACAACAGCCACAAAACATTTTAAACTAAAAATGTCGTTTTTCATAATATTTAGCAGTAATGGTGCTATGGTTCATGCAGTCCTCATGGTCAAATGTCTTCAGCATTACCATTGTCTGTTCATGCTGATATTTAAGGATTTTATTTCTAATTATTCATTCCCCGTGTAGTGGTGACTTAAACAAATTTTCATGACCTCTGAGTGACGTACGGGTGACATGCACAGAAAGAGGCAGGTGAAACAAATGCAAATGGAAAACATGATATTGGGGTGGGAAATGGAAGAAATATAAAACATATGAAATTCCAAATAATTTGAATGTTTTCTTTAAAAACATATATAGATGTTAATGATTGATTTACATGTGACGGCATTTGTGCAATTATTATAGTGAGATGCTATCATTCTGGAATGGAAATAAGGATGTTTTCACGAGGTGTTAAAGCTGCATAAAAGCTAAAAACAGGTCATTTTAGCCCATTGCAGGGTTGTTTGCAGTTTTTAATGTTGTGTAATAAAAATGCTTTTATGTGGTCTTACAGGTGCATAATTGCAAAGAAAGGGGCACTTAAGTCCTTTGCTAGGTGGTTGATTGGCAATATGATGAGGCCAAAATATCTGATAAGTTAGAACCTTCAGGAGCCTGAGATGTATTTGTATGCTAATTTTTAATGCTTAGTTCCAGATGGTCTAGTTTGCAGTCAAAGAAACAAACACACAGACAGACAGAGCGTTTTAATATATTAAAGAAAAAATAGGTTTTAATAATGTGTCACTAATATAAACTGTCTCCCTGACTTGTTTCACCACACTCTCAGTGTTTCATTATCACTTCCTCACCGTGAATGAGTTTATGGTGAAGCCAACCTGAGAGAGAGATGTAATGTAGACACTAAAGCCGGTGCACAAGAATGTCATACTAAAGAGGATGGTTCTTTTAGATACAAGGGGGAGCGAGCGAATCAGAAACCCCGGGCACAATGATGAAGCAGGCCTGATCAGAAACAGTTTATTCCCTGAGACGGACAGTAGGAATAAAACAACCCAAATAATAATAAGAAAAAAGTATACAATAAAATGTTATTAATATACTAAAATCCCCCAGGAATAAATAAAACCCACTTCAAAAACTGCTAAAAATATAATTCTCTGCATGCACTAAAATCCCACCCGTTTCCCCGATGTAACTGTCCCACAGTTTGTTAGGTGTTCATGAGCTGGACAGAAATTCCTCTTGCGGAGGGGGGTCCACGCCAGCCTCGTCCCAGGCCGACGGGGAGGAGCCTCCCCATATGGAAAAGAAATAGTAAAAACTTATAAAAGACTTGCATAAGATGTGGCCTGCTTCATATAGTGAATCATATAAGGCTTATATGATTTACTCATGAAAGCGGCCACTTTCTCATTACTTTCATATATTGTTTTAGCAAGTATCCAAAACATACAAGTTTCATTTATATAATTTTTCAAGGGATCTTACATCGGTTTTTACTCTTGTATGCTTTTCATACAAGTTTCACACAAGACAGATACAAACTTTATAAGATTTATACATATCTTTTCCATATGGGTCCATCCCCCTCTCGTCCTTTCACTGGGCCCACCACACATTCTGCACCGGCATCCGTCGCTCGATACCACCGCGGCTCCACTTGCGTCATCGCTCTGTAAATAAACAAATAGGTGCCAGAACCATCGTCCCGGAAGCGGCCCTGGCTTATAGCCATGGCAACCCTCTGCCAACACTGCTGCACCCAGTGAATGACAGTGGAGACACTACTCACAAATGTAGGCAGAGGTATACCTCTCCCCTGCTACTAATCACACACGTTGTCTCCTACTGTCACCGTTCCTGCTGTCGGGACTGGGTCGCCGCGTCACGCTGACTGGTCCGTCTCCAGATGAGGCACCGCACCCCCACAATCAAGCAGCGGGTCCCTCTTTTTCACCTGGCCTTCGCGCGTTCCTCCTTATATCTGGGGCCTCTCTCCTCCAGTATCCAGCTAGCTTCCTTTTAATAGGTGTTTAGACAGCTGATAGGCCACCTCTGGACACACACATGCCTCAGCAGGTGATCCCTACCAGCTAATTTGCCCCATGCTCAGCCAGTCCACAGTGGATTAAAACAATGTCAAATAAAACACTAAGAACCATGCAATACAAACAGAATAAAATCATGCAAATAAAACAACACTCCCAAATAAACACTAAAAATCAGAATAAAACCAAGATAAATACAAATTTGCGTGTGACAGAGAAACAGGATGCATGTTAATAACAATTCTGCAATTTGGCTCCAGTGTATAGATATTATAAAGTAAATAGAAAGTGTCCAGCTGGTATTCAGAAAATTGCTTATATGGGTCATAGTTGTTAAAATTAGAGCCTTTGCTAAAAACACAACTTGCATTGGGCACATGCACAGATGTTGTGCACATTTTCATGTTTCTTAGATGAGAACAGTGAACGCTGATGTTCATTCTGACTGATTCTTTCAGCTCTACAAATTTCTACATTAACTCAGCAAGTGGAGCAACTGAAAGCACAAATGAACAACTCTGTGTCCAAATCCAAGGTTGATGGTGAGTGTGTTTCATTGTCAAGTCAAGTCAGCAGCGCTACTGGGGTCCAGTATTCAAATGGTGTACATTAAAGGGTTGTTGTACAGCTTTAATATTAGCTAAATAAATATTTACATTTACGCATAACAAAGTTTTGTCTGTTCTGTAGAGCTCCAAAACGCCATAGATGAAAAGAATCAGGAGCTGGACAAACTAACAAAAGAGCTGAAAGAGAGAAGCACTCAACCACGTAGACGTGAGTACAAACAACCTGCTGAAAGAATCCAGATTACTAACTCAGGTACAAATACTTATCAGTGTTCCAACCTTCTTTCAGTTCTGCAGATTATTGCACTGCAAACAGAAATCGAGAAACTGGACACTGTGGCGGAAAATGATAGAGATGAGGAGAAGATTAAAGGTGAGTGACATATCTTACCTGTGTAAAGTAACAAGTGTAAAGCAAAAATAGGATCATTTCTGTTTTGTTTTATTCTTCTTGAAAAAAATCATCTTTTTTTTCCAGCACTTCAAGGAAAGCTCAATTATTTGATTGAGGGAGTTAAAGATGAACAGGATGAAAACACTAAGCTGAGTGAGTAACAGTCAGACTAAAATACTTACTCACTCTCTTCTTGTTATATATGCATAAACCTTTTTTGTAGCATTTCAGATCTTGAATCAGCAAGCTGAAATAGCAAGACTGAAAAAGCAAGAAGAAAGGAAGAATGAGACACAAGAAGCCCAAATTAAAGGTGGGGTGCAGTGGGCTCTCCTCAAATGTGATCATAGTAATACTACAGATATTTAAGGACATAAAACATTACTTTTGCCTGTTTTTGTAGATCTGGAGAATCAACTGGAGGCCATGAGAAATCAGAAAAGCACAGGAAGTGGTATGAGTTCAGTCATGAGTTCTGGTTCAGTCAGCAACAAGGAGTGAAATATCAAACAGCATCAGAGTACATAACGTTTGTGTTTTGTTTTAGCTGCTCAGATTATGGAGCTTGAAGTGCAAATTAAAGAACTGGAAGATAACATAGCAGCCCTCAAAGAGGCTCATACTGAGAGCCTTGCAGGTACAGAACAAACTTTGAAATGCATATTGCATGAAGTAACCTGTATATTAAGCTAATGGTTGTGTTTATTAATCTCAACTCACTTTCAGACCTTCAAAGGAGACTAAAGTTGAAAGAGAGGCAGCTGGATGACACTGAAAGTCAACTTGAGCATGTAGATGCAGAGAATTATAAATATGGTATGAATATTGTTGAATTTGCTTTTTGGTGTCATGCTGTTGGTGTGCTTTTAGTACGATATAATATTCCAGTGTTTTGCATTTCCAATAGTGATGGAGATTGCTGATCTGAGGGTGAAACTGAAAAAGGCGGTGACGCAGACATCTGACAAAAAAATCAAAGGTTTGTGATTTTTGCAGTCATTTAACAATTTAGTGCATGTAGAGTCAATCTCATACATATTTTGAAGACCTGCAACACATTTCTGCTTGATCTTAAATCCTGTTTAAAAGTACTTTTTTGCTTTCTTTGTCAGACGTGGAGAAGAAACTAAAAACACAAGAAGCTGAGAATAAAAAACTTGAAGCTGCAAACAAAGGTTTGTATTTTATTTTTGTTGGGTTTAAAGATCTATTTAACTCTTATAGTATAATGCAACAGCTCATTAGCTTAGCTTAGCACACGGACAACAAATAATGGGCAACAGCTCGCCTGGATTTATCTGCTGACAGCTTCTATTTTCCAACTCTGTTTGGCACATATGGATTACAGTAATTGTTGAACATGAGCAGAATAAATGTGACATGTAATTCCTTTGCAAGGCTTTTGCTGTAGATTAAACAAATGAAGTAAAACATGTTCATTTGTCTTTAGGAATCATGTAGTTAGCTTTAGGGAGGCTAGCTTATTCCCCTTCTTTCCAATCTTTATGGTAAGCTAACATTCACATTATATAGCATTTTATATCTTGAGATAAAAATTTACAACATAGTCTTTAGCCCCTTATAGTACCTACTCGGATCAACTTGCCACGGTTTGCAGTGGTTTTCAGAGTTTTCCATTAGCTTAATTACCTTCAGTCACGG